CTCATAATTCATCTGTTAGTCACCTTTATTTGGACTGCAATACGTGAATCCAGCAATAATGCAGTTTCTAATACTGTTGCATTCAAGGCCTGTTGGAATCTGTAGAAGGATGGCTGTGTTGAGTGTAATGTTGCCAAACTTCAGACCTTCAATATTGACTGACACCTGAGACGTGTCACCTGTGTCACAGGGAGTGATGAGTGATAAGCATTTACCTGATGAATTTGGGACACCCAACTTATCGTGTGAATCTAAAAAGTTACTCTATCTCTTCTTCAGATTTTTGGGTTGGTTTGTTTCTTAGGTTACAGTCCATGCACCTGAAATTGTAATAAAAATGTATTCATGTCTCATTAAGTGGCATTACTTAATTGCTTTTAGTTTCTATGTGCTGGCTTTCCCTCCTGAGTTTGTAGAGGTACTTGATTAGGATTTCTTTCCCACTTTTATGACTTTTTGAAAGGATTTTCTTTTGAAAGATAGTGCTACACACATCTGAGCACATTCTTAATTAGGTGTGATGCTGTTGGTGACAGGATCAGCCCCTAGGTTTTGGGGTTTATTATGGTCTGCATGTACTTGGATTAGAGGTAGCATTTTGTCTGATAAGGTCATATTTTACATTGTAAATGAGCATGCTGCTGATGATATAAGTGTTAATAGGATGACGAAAGTGTCTGCTAATCTGAGTAAAAAGTCACTTGAGCAGTGGGAGGAACTTGATCCAGTCTCAAGTCCTATAAGTGTGTTCTCTTGGATGAGTTCAGTTGAAATCTGGAGTGGAATAGCAAATTTTTTTATCACTATAGTCAAAACCTCAGCAGCTCTAGTGATGTTAATTAAGCTCATAGTGCTAAGATTTTTTGTGAGTTTTCGAATTTCTCAGCATTTTTGAAAAGTAAGAGAGCAGAGTCACTGTTCTGAAGAACTCTTTGCTCACTGCTCCCTGCAACGCTGCTGACACACTGTCAGAGGAGTGGAAGCCATGGGGATCTGGGAGTTGCGTGTCCTAAGCAGTGCATGGGAATTGTTCCCCGAATGTGTGGGACCCTATTTCACATGGGTACAACTGTAGTAAACCAAGAGTTTATGTCAATGCTGTTAATCTGTTTTATTAGCACAGCTGCTATTTCTAACACTTCCACTTTGGATTTATGCTGGCAAGAAGGCTTGGTGGCAAGTGTGATAGCTGCAGGAGCTTCTTCCTAGAACATTGTACCTCTGAGAGTCTCCAAGCTTTTCTTCCAGGACTCTGTCCTCCTCCTGTTAGAATTGTGCACATAGTTCATCCAAGTCTCACTTACCTTTCAGAGAGCATTGTAGGAATGTAAAAGTGATCCCTGGGGAAACTGATATAACTGCCCAGCAGCAATAGTGGAATGGCTCTGCTTTTTCTTGCCTTGACTTCCCTACTCTTCCTTGCCTTGCTGTTCATGATAGGTGAGTGGTCATCCCCAAGGAGATCTGAGCTTTCACATTTTTGTTGCCAGTAGGTGGTCTGACAGGTGAAGGAGATCCATGGTGTGTGAGCCACTTTTTGTATAGGCTGTATGAGCTGAAAAGATGAAGAAATTGATCTCTGTTGTTCTGTAGGCTAAGCTGGTTTTCTGGTATTGGGTATTAGGAATTGTTTCTACACCTAGTGAACAAAATTAGTTGAGTAGCTGCACTTTAGACCAGAGGAAATAATTATAACCATACTTTTGTCAGTACAATGTATGTCATTTAAGGATACGGTTTAACTGTGTGTAGTTTTTCTTGTTAGGAGACTCATCTCTGTCAGGATTTTTTAGTGTAACCCAACTAACACAGTTCTTGCAGTGCAGATTAGCCATCTATTTTCTGCCTTCAGTGTAGTCTGAAAAGAGCCTTGCTCACTTTTAACAGGTAAAGGTCAAATGTGACAATGTCCTCTTGGCTGGAGTGACATTTTTAGTGGAGCTTGACTATAAAGCTACAGCAATATATATACTTGCATGTGTTGTTTTCCTTAGGAAAAAAAAGCAATTCAAACTGCAGTGGTTCTCAGGTGCATTTTTAATGCCCATGCAGGTGAGGTGTTCCAGATGAAGCAGTTCTCAATGACAGAGCTCCAGGGAAGTGTGAGTATGCATCCAGCAAGCAGAGCTTGATGTGAACAGCGCAGCAGAGAGCAGAGATAGACTCTAGACCCATGAGTGCTGCCACCCCAGAAAAACAAGTCTGGAATTGAGTCACAGCCCTCAGCATTCTTTGCTGTTTTACAAATAGCTACTTTTGTGACAACTTCCCAGCAGATCTACCAAAGAAAATCATGTATAAGTTATCCTTTACCTTATCTGACAGAAAAAGCACAGATAGAAGCAGTTATCACAGTTGGGATCCTTATAAAGAATGGTCTAGCAAGGCTCCATATGAACAGATTTTTACCATTCAATCTTATTTTTTTAAAAAAGGTTAAAATGTCAGAATTCTGGGTATTTTAGGATTCCTCTCGTTTTCCTTGCATATTCTGTATTTATTGCCATTGCATTTTTTTTTCCCTCAAGTGACCCTTACTAGTTAGACTCATTTTGATGAAGACTCGAACTGTGCAAACTGTAGTGACGATGGTTGTTTTCAGTTACACCGGAGAACAAGAGTGGGTGAGGTGTGTTCTCACAAATAAGGCAGTTTTGTGCTGCTTCTGGAGCTTGAGTCTCATCCTGCCTGTGCCATAAAACTTCCTCCTGGTCAGGCCATATGTACACGTGCACAGGCTCCCCAGGGGATCTCTGGCTTGAAGCAGAAACAGGGACTGCAGGCAGGGAGAGTTTCCCATGTACTGTGTGGTCACAGAGGGCTCTACTCCCTGGTATACTGTGCAGTAAAAGCTCAAATTACATTCTTGGTGAACTCAATTCCCAGCTTGGTTCTCTACATGTAATATAGCTAGAGAATTCTCTATGGAGTTAGCTAATACAAAACCCCCTCATGCATGGTTGCAGCTTCCAGTGTACACCATGAAAAAAATGGATATAAAGTTTTAAAGGTCTGTTAAGACTTAACTGAAGCTTTTGGGGTTTTTTAAACTATGACTAGCCACTTAGTGGAGTAAACAGGGTTGGGGTCTTGGCAAGAAGTACAGTATGACTTTATGCCTGTGATTTTATGTGCCAAAATGAAGTGATTTACAGTTTCAAAAGTAACCATGCTTTTTTTGTTTTGAGGTGTTTCTAAGTCTCACAGTCCTGAGATAGAATACTTCAGATAATCAAGCCTAGACACTTTATGCTGTTAAAGAACATTTAGAAGTCCTCAAATTACTTTGTTAAAACCACTTTTCTTCATGTTACAGTTGGTCTGCATATCTACATTTTAGCAATTTAGTTGAAATACTAAAACATTAAATGTGAGATGAATAGGAAGTAATGTCCTTGAGTTGTAAGTATTACCTCAAAGAGGAGGGAGGGAGAAGTCTGAATAATATTTGCTGGAAAAATTAGAATTAAAATGTAACCTAATTTTCTGTTATTGGAATTAAGTGGTGCTTGCTAAGTTTTCCTGCTACACAAAAGATGTCATGTTCTGTTTCTCAACACTTTGTAAGCCAGGCTACTGATTCAGAACAGTTGTGCAGTGACAAGTATTTGTCACCAAGCTGTTCTCACCAATTCACTTGCCTGAGCAGGGCCTGACTGTTCAGACCTTCTCAGTTCAGAGAAGAAGAACTTGAGCTATTCCAGAACCAAGACCTCCAGCTACAATCTGTTCTGATTCCAGTGGAGAAAGCCTACACTTAAGAGCAGCAGCTGCTTCTTCAGAGTCACCCATGGCATTGTACTGTAATGTATGGCAAAAGGATGAGTTTGCAGTCAGATGTTTTTGCTAGCTGTGCTTGACTCTATTCTTTTCTCCATTATGTCTGTTTGATATATTCAACAGGAGGCCAGTATTGCACTCAGAAATAATGCTCTCAGGTGAAGAGAGAACAGTAAGGTACTGCAATTGTAGTTGCATTTTTAGCCAGAACTTAGTCATCATGGCTTGTTAATGACGCCCCAGAGTCTTTTAACAGAATCTTTAGGTTCTGTTCCTTATTCACTACACTGGACTAAAGTGAATTTGAAACAGGTGATAAAACAGTAGTTGTGTACCAGTTTCTGAAAATACATTTACAAAAAGAAGTTGCTAGGAAAAAAAATCTGTTCATCCTCTCATGAATAAGTAACACTCTGTGGACTAGGAATAGATTAAAAATAAAAAAGAATAAACTTTTATCTGAGAGGATAATTAAGACATCTCACCTATGCTAACTCACTCCTTGCAACTTACACTGATGAAAATCAGATAGCATAAGGTGGACAGAGAAATTCTGTGAAACTTTATTTTACCATTTTTGCTACAGGTTCCTGTGACCTCTGGGATCAACTAATTCCCCTTCTATATCAATACTAAATGTAAAAGAAGAATGGAAATAGTACTACCTCTCAATAAATGTATTCCCATTCAAGTATACAAACACCACTTTCTGATGGGATGGAACATAATATTAAATATATCTGCCACATACATTAAAATCGTGCCAGGAGAACAAATAGTAATGCCATCTCCAAGCTTGGGACAGTGTTGCAGCTCTCCAAGAGTGAGCTGGTAAACATGAGGGAAAACATAAATCAGAAATACACAAAGCAGCAATTGATTCAGCATAATTTTAACTGTTAAGGGAGAAAGCAGTAAAGTCTTTCACAGTCAGCACAGATGAGATTCATCCATAGATTAAGCCCTCTCTAACATTATTAGTACAGTGGTTGGGAATAATGCTCACAGACTGATTTTTAATTTTTTTTTTTTTTATTTGAGCAGAAGATTTAGAGATTTATCAAGAGACACAATTTCATGATTCTTCAGAAGCATAAGACTGGAGTTTTCCAAGCCTTGTGTTCTCTATTGTTTTGTCTGTTTTCTTCTTCCTGTGTTTGTTCTGTCATCAGAAAACTACCCTTGCAAGTTCAAACAGAACCTGTGGAACAGCAAACAAATTGATGTGGATTTTTATTTTATTTAAAAATCTTTAAACCAGTTTACACTATAAATCAGATAATCTGAAAAGTAACTGTAGCCGCTATTTGAAAGTTGGTACAAATATTAATCCCCGTGTACATCACATTAATAACAGTGATCTTAATTCTCAAAGTATGAAGCATAGAAATTGCACTTATGTTGGTAATGTTGAAAAAAGCCCCACCAACCTCTATGGTGATTAGTATTACAATCATCCACTCAAGGCGCAGTGCGTGCTTTTCATTCAGGTGATTTCGCATTAGGTCTGTCAGCTCCATGCAGTGCTGGAGCTTTTCATTCATTACCTACAAACCATTACAGACATCACAAATCTGGACTCCAGAAATGGAATGAGATCACTAAATAGGGAAACATACTCCATAGAACTAGAAAGGGGTTAACACCTCTGCAAAATACAATAGAAAATTAATAGAACAGAAAATTCTATAAGATAACATGTACAAGCAACAGAAGCTTCAGTATAAATGAACCTGTTATTTCAATGGGTTCCCCAAAAGAATGTAAATTTAGATATGCATGTACAGAGAGTGAAGTGTTTCTGGGTGATACCTGCTCAAGAAAACAGTCATAAGCAAAAGAAGATGCAGCTTTCTGGAATGCCTCAAAATTAAATATTTATGATTGCTGTACCACCAGGACAGATAGTTTTCATGCTGCTTATTTTGGTTCAGCAGTAAACATGTCACCTTTCAAGAACTGATGTGAATGATCATGTCAGTAAGAAGAATCCACTTCTCAGTTCTAACTATTTAAAGCCTAATTTAGTGGCTCAAGAAATACACCATTCATGTGAGGCAGGTTAACCTAAACCAGGTAAAGGTGCGAGTGGGCTAATAATACCTGGAAAAGGGGAGAGTGTATAATACCTTATTATTTATTCCTTTTGCAATTAAAGCACATTCACAGAGCAATCTGTGACCCTGCTGAACAGAAGACAACTGATCTGAACATGGAAGATTCTCACAACAGTAAGACACTCACCTTAACTCTGCGATTAATGTTGAGAAACTGGCAAGTCTTGTCATAAAGCTCTTCCAGTTTTTCTCTATCCCAGTAGAAGTCTGGTGTTATTAGCAGGTCTGAGCTCAGATTTATACGGTGTCTGAAAAGAATGGGTACTATTGTAGCTCAGGCTTCCTTTTGGTGAATATAGGAGCAAATATTTACATGCAGTTAAATGAAATAAGACAATTTTCCTGTAATTCTATATACAATATGAAAAGAATCTCCTTTCATAGTAAAAATACAATTGGTCACATCTCCTGAAACTTTTCTGGGAATACTCTACTGTTGAACTCCTTTGAACATAAATGACTTTTTCCTTATGCCATCACTGCCTCCTCAGCATGTCACCTTCCTTAATTTTTGAAAGCTGTAGAGAGGTCCCTGACTATGCTAGCAGCTCACTGAAGCAGTACACAAAATAACACTACAGAACTCCTAAATGTGACTGGTACTGCATGCTGGATATGTCAGAGCAGCACACCCCTCAAAATCAGGCAATGGTCTAAGCATCATAAAGGCTAAAAGCTAACATCTCCTGCCGTCAATGTATTGCTAACATAAACCTTTAGATAGATACCTGGAATGTTACTGTTGATAACTGATCAGTCCTTCAACTACTCCAGCATTTGAAGCAGGAATTGTTTTTTAATTTTACTGTGGAGATTTTGGAGAAAAGGGATTTTTTCCTTTTTCTTTCTTTTTTTTTTTTTTTTTTTAAATGTAATGGTGTAATGGTCTGTATTGTCAAAGGCCAAATTTCACTTGAGGGAGAAAAAACATTAAATACAATGACTTAGCAGTGGTTTCTGAGTAAGACAAGAGAGGAACAGAACTCACAAAAGATTTTTAACAACTCTGGGCTGTAGTTAACAGTACTACACCTACCCACCTTTCTCCTGGTATCATTTACGTGCTGTAGTATCTACTGTAATTACTAGTTTAAACACGTGTTGCTGGACTCAGGAAGGGAAAAGGGTGTGGTATTTGGTCATTTATCATATACTGCCTGCTTAATGCCTGCAGTTGAAATGCCAGTGAAAGTGGTGAGCCAGTCCCCTTACTAAGGTAAAAAGCACACAGACTCCACTCAAAATAAGGAATTCTCCCACCCTGTCTCACCCTGCTCTATTTAGTATGCATTCACCTCTTTGTATCCTGCACAATGTAACTTTTACATTCTGTGTAATGCAATGTCTCAGGTGTAACCAAAGAAGTTACCTTAGTGCGAAGAGTTCTCCAATTTTCTGCATCACATCTGCATGAGAGAGTTTTACCTTCCTTCGGGACTTTAGAATCTGAAAAGTAGGAAGTTCTTCACTGCTTGATCAAGTAACATGTATTAGTAGTTAAGAAGTCCAGAGTTTTACAGCCTGAAGTATCTTAGAATCTAAATGCATACCGTACTTACTAATATTTTAGTTTTGTTTGCTTAGTGCCTTGCTTCTCTGGCTTTCTAAGAATATCACCGTGCAACTGGTTCATCCAGGCTTCTCAAGAAATCATTGAGTACGTCATCAGTAGCTACAGAAATACTGGGGCATTTTCTGTAAGTGATTTCCTGAACCAGAGATTATTTGTTCTTCCTTCCTGCTGTTTTTATTTTAAAGTCATGACAGTACTCTTTTACCTTGCCACTCTTCAGCCTTTTTACAGACTTTCTCCTTATAACAATCAATGTATTACCATTTATTTCCTTCACATAAAAGTAATAAAACCAATGTTTTCTCTTTTGAATCCTACAAATCTCAATTTTATATACAACATCATATGGGCTTTTTACCGTAATTACATCTCATGAAAAACCTTTAAGTAATTCACTCAAACTCTTCATTATATTCAAGTGAAAGCACATTATTTTCAGCCCAGGTTAGCACACACTGTTTGGCCAGGTTTCTAAATGCTGCTTGTCCTGTTACACATACGTTTCACCAGTAGCACAACATGGGAAACATTATTACAATGCAGAACCACACTCCCAGCCCTTTAAAAGCTGATGATGTCTTGTCCAATCACTTTGCAGGTACTCTGAGCTTCTCTATACTGATGGATTTATGACCAAATGTGTTCAACATTCAATTGCTTTTTCCCTATCCTCAGCTACATATGGACTGATCTTTTACAAAACACAGGAGAAAAGAAGGGGAACAAGACCTCACCTCAGGAATTGACTGGATAGATTCCACAAAGTTATCCAGTAATGATTCCCAAATAGCCAGCTTCACTGCAACACAGAGATGACAAAGCAGAAGACTGTGAGAAGTACATATGCTTTCAAGTAATTCTAACTTTAAATCTGCCAACAGGCTACTTCAGGACATGTCGATGCTTACAGACATTACTTGCAGCAAGTTACAGTTTGTACTATACAATCATTGTTCATGTACCAATGGGCAGATCTGGGCTGGGCACTGACACAGCTCTACACACAGATCCAGCTTCACCATGAGCACAGCTTTCTTCTCCAAGTGATCAGTTCAGATCCTGCAGAGTTTCTGCTTCAGCTCAGAAGTTGTGTGTTCAAGTGCTCTACTGTATGTGTGAGCCCCCAGCAAATTACATTCCAAGGAGGCTGGAGATAACGAACTATGTTGGAGTCAGGCTGATTTCATGTGGTACCTCAAGAGCCTCCACTGCATTTCTAGTGTCCTGCACAGCTCTTATTCTCCATTTGTGCAGTACTGATGCACTGTGCTCCAACCACACGTTAGCCTGTATAGACACACCACCTGTTCCTGCTGAAGTTCAATCCAAACTTGAGCAATCTCCCATTTTGTTTTAGGTGAGTGTACTGTTACTGAAAATACTAACTTCCATTCTATGGAAGCTTGAATTCAGCATTGGCAACACAAATTCTGCTATGCCTCAGCCTGAACCTAGTAAAATGTTTCTACAAGATGATAGTTTAACTTGGGCCTTGTTCTTTAGTCCACAGATTCCCAGACAAGAAAGAAGTAGCAACAGATCAAAAATTAACCACATTCAATCTGAAAAAATTAATCAGGGAAGATTTAATTGTCAAAATGCACTTTTTTGTGGTCGTAATCAATAGTATCATCTGGTTAGGATACTGACAGTAAACCAAATGCTGAGCATTTTGCACACTCATCTTTTGAATACAGAGGCCTAATCCAAGTCACTGACTTAAATGACTTTAAATTTAGACCCTGAAAAAAACAACAGCCAGTAAGCATTTCATCTGTCACCTGTTATTTGACAGAGGCTGGTTTCTGCCGTTCAGAAATTTGACTAGGGACTATTCTTGTATCCTTTATTTTTACTGAACATTATCTCCTGGGAATAAATCCCTTGCTCCCTTTTAGGAGGCACTACTCTTCCATACGATGCCTTTATGAATAAGAAAACCATAGAGAACAATATGCTTTTTTCTCAATAGCTCTTCCTTCAATAGTCAGGAACCATTTACTTACACTGCACTCCTTGATGAAATGGTGTAGCACTTGAAAATGTGCATTCTGTTTCTCTCCTGTGTAAAGGTGCACTTGCCCAAAATACTACTGGAATTTACCCTAAAGGCAGTAGAGGTAGACAGACCAGACTTCCCTTAAAGATGTTTTTGAGGACAGCCTTACTGATGCTGGTTCCTAACTCCCACTCCCTCCATCATTCAAGGTCTGAAGCAGTAGACAGATGTTATTTGCTCAAGCAGCAGATGACTGGTGAGCCTGACTTCTTCACAGTGCCTCCCACTGTCTGCTACCATGGCTAATAAGCCTGCAAAACATTATCTGTGACTCTGGTCCACATATGTGTTACTGATACACCTCCCCAGCTGGGAATACCTGCCCTGTATCACATCTTTAGCTGGCATCTAGCTTTTTCTGTCAGAGGAAATTATGTCAGCATGAATTACCCAAGATTACAGAGAGGTTTCTAATACTGAACTCTACATTCATTGCTATCCTAGGATAGTTCTTAAAGGTGAGGAACAGGATGCTCAGTAGAATGTGTATTTTTTGCAAAGTATGTTTGTTAATGTGCTTTTTTCAGCTTTAAAATGGTTTCCATTGAATAAGGCAATTCCAATTTACAGAAAACACGGTAAAAGCACTGAAAACAAATCCTCTCAATCTGAAGTGCAATCACTCTTTACACAGTTTGTCTAAACCAGATACAAAGTTTTTTCTAGCCTGTCACTGTACAAGTCCCACTTATAATGACATTTCACAAAATCTGTAGCATAGATTGCATAGTACGAACAATATTAACTTACCAGAAAGACAAAGAGCATTTGAAAAGGCAAATTTCTGCAGAACAACTTCATCACTATCCAGCTCAGAATTTAACAAGATTTGTCCTTTATGAAGTTTTGACTGACCTCTGTTAAGACAAGATTGAAGCATCCTCACTGATCAAGGAACATTTAAAGAATACTGGACAGTGCAAGAAAGGCTGGTTGTTTATTTAGATAAGGCATGCCACATCTGTATGGTATCATCCCCATCCTTGCATTTTACTCATGTTCAACCTGATGATATTCACAACAAATCACTGAAAATTACTTCCTCAGTCAAATTTTATAGGTGTAAATGCAAATGCAGCAAACTGTGATAGTAACTATAGCATTGCTGCATACACACAGATTATTCAGAGTAAGCGGGATGCCGGCCTCTCCCCTGCTCCTGCTATCTTTCTGTTTTCATTTTCCGCTTTCACTCTTATCAACCTTACTCCCTTCCCCACTATGATGTTACTTTCCCTAAAACCTCTATTGCATAGGGGGCAAGGAGCAAAGAAAAGGGGACAAAAGACTTGTTAATTTTTCATGTCAATCTTACTATGAAACACACATAAGCAAAATGAAGCATGTCAAGAATCGCAAATTACTCAACTAAATAGTACATGCAGTTTTCAAATGGTCAGGAAAAACCAAACACCTGTCTCCTTATCAAGTTACTTTAAATAAGCTGAGCATTATTCATTCAGTTCCTAGTATTAAAAGTGTCCTGTCTAGGTGTTGCTTTTGGGTGCTGTTGGAAAATTACAGGTCATATATATAATAATTTTCATTGTGAAATATTTCTGTAGAGATAATTTTCATTCCATGATGAAAAAACATTATTTAACAAGGAAAGATAACCTGCCAGGTTTATAATTACACAATAATCAAGCTGTAACTTTCCTACTAAATGAAGTATACAGAAATTACATCTTTGTATATGAATCTCAAGGACATGGAGAAAGCTTATAGAGAGCATCCTCTTCAAGATCAAACTCATCTCAATAATGCTTATTAGTTTTTTTGCTGTGACATACATAGTTTCTGTTTGGGATTGCTGAAGAGTTGTGTGGGCAAGGAGCTTCTTATTTACAAGATCTATCATATAAGCAAATCACAAAGGTCACTACCTGCAAGTTTACCAAGACAGAAACATTTATTGACTGAGATTTATAGTTTTCTTTCTTTATTTTACTCATTTGGAAAAAAAGTAAGGACAGGTATATTTTTACTAGCTGAATTACTTTTGCTTGAATTTTTTTTAGGTTTCTGTTAGCTTTTATATACAGAATGTCTGAAGATACTTACTCTCCTATTCTATAGTTCAGCTCTTCATTTTCCCAATGGACCAGTGCAACTTCGTATGGCTGAATTTCATGCTGCTCTAGCACTCGCATAATATTCTTCATCTAAGAAGGAGACAATTGCAGCAATAGTTACCATGCAGTAAACTATCACTCTGCAAAGAACTTGCATGGGGCAGGCTGATGAACGCAACCTTCATGCTGAAGTTATTAACCTAACAATGAAGAGGTGTGCTAAATAATGAAATTCTTATTAACACAGTTTACTTCTGAAACTAGTTGTGGTTCGAGAAGAATTTGTCGCTATGAACAACTGCAAGGAATCTGGGAAAACTGAAATGTCATTTTATATGTGCACACATGGGACAGGGTAAGGATTAACCACAACAGTAGTAAGGACAACGTGGATGTATTCGGTATTATAACAATGAGCTTACTAGATTTTGGCAGATGTCTGAGTGTGGGAATGAATCTTTAGAAGAAGTAGAATAGGTGGTTGTTGCTGATAAAATTGCTAGTTTGCTGCTAAATCAGTAGTTTTGTTTTTGATTGCTGCTGAAATCAGTAGTCTTGTTTCAGCTACCAGAGGTCAGTTGTATTACAGAAACCCTTTACCACTACAAAAATCTGGAAAAATTGTTTCAGTTGCCACATTCATCCCTGTAAGTAGTTAAATGTGCAATTTTACTTGCAGAAGTAATCTCACTGCTCCTTTATTCTCCAGCACACTAAAACCTGATGCAGGAAGAAAGAGCCCTTTTCTCTCACAAAACTTTCTCCGCTTGACACCTAACTTAGGATCTCTCATCCTTCTTCCTTTGTATATGCTACACGGCTCCCCTCAAAAAAATCTGCAATTAGAACAAATTCTGAACTACAAAAACCACTCACCTATAAGTTTTTAAAAGGCATTTAGCTACACAACAGCCAATAAAAAACCAAACCAGAAAACCACAAAATGCTTTTGATGCCTAAATTCTTTAGAGCTCAATCTTCTACTAAGTCATACTTAAAAGCACTCTCCTTTTAAAATAAAAGATCATAGTTCATCATTTATCACAAAACTGTACCCCATAAATTTTTCATAAAGCATATTTTCCAGGTTAAGTACTCTAAAAAAATCTGTTTGATCACCTGCAAGAGGGATTTTCTTTGCACTGCTAGCTTTCTTCATTGCTTTCAAGAATTTAGGTGATACTATCTATGTACCACAGTAACATTTTTCACTGAAAAAAACCCCCTCAACTGTACTGCTGAAACTGCTCCTTTCATAATCCTGAATTCAATATTAGCATGACTAAGACTTGCCATATAATTGAAGTCTTGTGACAAAAAAGGGTATGAAAACATGAAGCGTCTGCTCTGAGGCCAGTCACCTCAGCCAAACAGCAGTGTCCAAGGACAGTTCAGCAGTGCAAACCCCCACAAACCCCAGCCTAATTTTATAGAAGGGACTAGTTGTGATACAGTAAAACTAATTAGAAGAGATGTTCTGGAGTCACTAGCTGCAAACTCTTGCTATTACGGGCACTTACGTCAGAGTTTCCTTTTAAAAAACCTCAGAGCTGGTTTTTCTTTTTGCCCTTGCTATTCTGGGAAGGAAGCTGCTGTACAACCTTCCTACTCAGGTATTTGAAATTACTATTTTGTATTTTAAGCCACTTTTTGTGATCAGTCTGTATTTGTTACTTCTTCTGTTAAACGTCTGTTAATTTAAAATAGTTTCTTTCTCCTACTAGTCATTCTGGGGTACTTTGTCCATTTGCAGTGACACTCTACATTCTGTTTTACTGAATTGCTTTCAGTTTCTGTTCTACAGACCAGTTTGGGGTTTTTCCTCTTTCATTTCATTTCATTAAAGCATGTCCATAAAAATACTTCCTGTATTTGAGCAAGTTGTTTGGCAGTTAAAGCTTTGATTATGATTTCTATAAACAGAAAGAGGCATTTTTCCTCCTTATTTTACAAATAAAGCTAGCAAGTGACCAGCTACTGATACTAGTACTGACCGGGAAAAACAGGGCATCAAATTTTCAACGGTATTTAAGCTTGTACAACAAAAGGAGAAATTTCAGAGTACTCCAGTGGGCTAAGGTGTTCAACTCAAAGATCATCAGGAATTAAAGCAGATGGTCTTCAGTAATACTTGTAGTGTAGTTACAGCCATAGCATCCAAACAGGCAAGGTTGGAAGGGAGAACTGGTATCTTTTTGTAGGACACCTGATACACTGACACCCCCCAAAACAGACAGGAAATCAGGAACATTTCAGTTCTGAAACAGAAGAAGTGAACTTGAATCCAAAAACTGTTCACATCTGGAAACAACTGCTCTGAGTTTTCATTTACCCCAATGAAAATCCTCCTGTGAAATTCTATGCATCTCAATATCATCTATTTAATGCACCATTTAATTTCATATAGTCTGTCTACAGATAAGATCAAGACTTTTTGTATCTAAAATCCAGTTTAACCACAGTAATAAAAATACATTTAAAATATTAAATGTATTTAATGTATTAATTGTATAAATGTATTCATTAGAATAGATATGCTTCTGACATACCCCTCTAGGTCAGCAAAGATCACCACAATATAACATGTCAGCAACATATTTAATGCTTATACCAACCATTAAAAAAATTCCTTCAGGAAAATTGCTGACTGGTAAAAACACAGAACAGTATTAATGAGTTGCTTATAATTATTTTTTTTTTCTTTCAAAGTTGTACAAACATAAGTCTTTAATAACTGACTGAAATGGAACAGAATGGAATAATCCTTTTCTTCTAACATATTTTCTGTTACATTAGTGCTTTTCAAACAACCATACATAGGTAGATTTTTCTGATCTACTTTTTCAGGATGTAGAACTGCAATAATATTCTTTTTGTCAGTCTCATTAAATTAAGGTTTCAGATTTTTGTCTTAAGTAGATGAATTTCAAAGGTGAAGACTCAGCAGCCCACACACTTCAGGGCAGTAGCAGGCAAGAACCTGCACTCATTGGAGAAAAATCAATCAGTTTCTTTCTTTCATAGAAAGAACAGTCTCCCAGAGAAACCTCTAGCATGCTGAGCTTTGTGAGACTGACAAAACACCTGCTTGTGCAGTTTTAACCAAGTTTCACTTTACTTACACTTTTCTCTTCCACATTCCAAAATACAACAGCCCCTTCCCTGTGAATTCAAGGAAAAACTGAGTGTAATCACTGTTTTAAATGTATTTTAAAGGAATACTCAAATTGTACAGTGGCAATTTTTGTCATTTTGACTCAAAAAACGTAAAACTATCTTCACAGAAATTATACACTATTTGCTATTAAACCATACTTCAATGAAAAACCACGAGAAGGTGTTTTTCAACCATTTAAATAATTCTGATTTTTTTTTTTTTTCATCATTCTGACTGGACAGTTATTCCTTGAGTTTCATGAGGTAATACAATGCAAGATCAAGCAAGCTGCACTACTTCCTTCACACCATTACTATTAATGACATGATGTTTTGAGCATGATTTATACCTTACCTGAAGAAAAAAATCATGCCGGGATCATCTTCTTTTGCAGATTTCTCAGTACTGACCACCAAAACATTTGCAGCATCTGGTTTGAAATAAGTGAAAAAATTGAATATTTAGTCAAACTTCTGAACATGACAGCTGATAATTGTAAGCATGTAATTCAACAGTTGCATACTAACACATCAGCCAGTTCCACATTTTATGAGAAAACTGATGCAGACATTGTAAATAACCAGGAACAGAATACAGAAGTGGACATATAATGTAAGAGAACTGTGGAAGTTTTGCACAGTCGCAGAGAAATTACCAGCCATAGAGCTTGCCTGGAAGCTCTTATTTTCTATATACTAAAGGATTAATCTGCACTCAAATTGTGCTGACTTTGCTTTGCCAGTCAGAAACTTGAAAGAGTGTACCCTCAAGACAGGAGAGCCTACACCTGCATTTCCCTGCAAATCAGAAGTGTGCTTTTGAAACATATCTTCCACCCACTCACTCTCCCTTACCACACTGGCTGTGCACTGCACAACAGTACATAAAATGTGAGGACTTTTGCATTAAATTAAAATGAAAGAGAAGCTAAAAAAAATGCTCTTGTGGTACTCCAACCACTAAAGGGGGCATTTGTTACAGAGGATTAGACCAGAGCTAGTCCAAGTAGAATATCCACAAACTTACAAAATGTTCAAGTATTGTTTGGTTCTCAAAGTTTTTAAGTATTTCTGGGTTCTCAAAACAGGGGTTTGATTTTTCTTCTTCAAATCTTCTCCACTGTGCCACTCACTAATACAGATAAAATTTTAGAATTCCTGATGTGGTTTCAAACCAGCATGACTCACTGTGTTGCAGCATTAGTGGAAGCTAGACCAGAAAAGTCCCCTACTTCTATTTAAAGTGAGACTTCAGAAAGATCTTGCAGGGCCTAACAGCTAAGCCTTAAAAATTTAAATGCCTTTTCAGGAAAATCACAAGTCAAGTGATGGGGTATCAAATGTTGTTACTTCTGCTTGTGTACAAATTCTACCTTCTGCTTTACAGCTCATACATCTCTACGGCTCTACACCCATAGAGGCCAGGTAGACTGAGGCAGCAGAGAGACATGATCAAGTACCAGATACACTCTTGCTAGTATCTGAATTGGGACCACACAATTGGTCTGAATGAGCCCTTAAAGACTTTCCTTCCACTTGCTAGTCCAGTTTAGAAACACATCATTGGGTGAATAAATATAGCAATTTTAGGTGTGAAATTTGAGTTCATCATGGAAGTAACATTTGTCTACATTTTCTGATTTGCCTTTTCAAATACCAGCCATATCTTTATTTATCCACTCCAGCCAAAACACACACAGTTGAAGGGAATTTGGTCTACTTTAGGCAGAGGTGCGGGATCTGCATCTAAAATGTTTTTAAAGAGGTCAAAACCAAGAATTATGGTTTGGAAAAACACTACAAAGCAACAAACTCACACCATAACTGCTGTTTTAGATTTTTATGCAGAAATATTTTTAAAAATTATTTTTCCAGATTCGATGTTTGGCTTGGTAACCAACCACTGCTACATGCACATGCCAACCATCACAACACTTAAGATCTGCCGGCACAATCCAATATCCTTTCATCATTACTTCCTCCAAACCTTTGATAAACAGTACTCATTATGAGTCAAAAACACCATGAAGAAATAAAAGGAATTGGCAAAACCGACACTCCCAGAGTAAAATAACATCAACAGTACCGTTTAACATTTAATGCATGGTCATGCTGAGGGTTGTACAAAGTTTCTATGCCAAAGCTGTGAAACCAGGGTTAGTTTTAATACAATGAAACTACAAAAGAACATGAAGCCTATATTCTAGTGGGTATTGTCTTTCATGTTCATCTTTCTGAACAAGACAATCATTAGTAAATCTCGTGCTTGAAAGAGAGCCACTGGAGCATTACTGCACTTAGATTATTACTTCAGAGGCAGACAGGCTTTTGATAACCCCTACTGAAATGCCCATGAACTGCCAGTGCTTCTCCTAGCTTCATATAATCTGCTCTTTCAAAGGGAGAAGAAAAGGCATTCTACTACTGACATATGAAAATCACAGCTGTTCCAGGGCGCAAGGTTCCTTAAGCTATAATAAGATCAATTTGTTTTTCTTTTGTAGTACACTGCAGCTATCTCCAAGCCATACTTTCTCATATCTGCAGAGATACTTTATACAGAAACCAGAATCAATTATTATGCTAAAGCCTACCTAAGTGTAGCATTCAACAATTGCTAGGATATACTTGGCCTGATAAATAAGAAGTATCAACAGCATGCTCTTTACTAGAACTAAACACTTATGTGTCTTTTTCATTTCACTTAGCAAGATTCTATTTTGCATGCCTTCCTCTCCAACTCTGTGATTTACATTAATAGAAATCTAGGTACAGAAAGAAGATGCAACACTTCAAACTACAGAATTGTTTTAACAGCTGATGTACTGCACTACCTCACTACTGAAAGATTAAAATAAAACATTCAAAAACTAACGCTCAGTGAACATCTGTAGGAATTCTCTGTATCAGTCAATTCCCCAAGTTATTTTTCATGCATGCATATAATTTTTCTACACTTCTAATTGTATTGTTGGGAAAAATTATCAGAAAGTTAAGAGCAAGAGCTGCTCACATTGTTATTCTGAACGGTTTTGTTGTAGGGACTTTTAGGCAAATAGAATCTTTAAGCAAAGCAATAATTTTACAGGCAGTATCCAGGATATTATCAGAATAAGAATACATAAAGTTACAAAAATTATATCCCTCACCCATATTTTATTTCCCAAGATATAACATTGCATTTAATATTTTTCAAAAATCTACCTCTAGGCAAACTCGTTATTTCAACATATCCATGTGAAGTCAGGTCATGACACAGATTACCAAGATGATATTCATCTGCTGTTGCAAAGGCTGTGCACTGCATCAGATTCTGTGCCAAAGGAATAGAGATTTCAGTTAGGGCATGGCAGAAGCAAGATGGTAATAAGACAACTGTTTGCTTCAAATTTATTAAGAGAGTGACAATTTTCATTTATGCACTGTTCTGAGATTTCCACCTGGTGGAAATCCTGATGATTTCCACCTGGTGTACATATACTAACAAGAGTACTTGCTCCTTGTTAAGTGGGAAAGCAAATCACACACTGAGAACAAGTCAGGTGGCGAGAATGAAGTCACATCAAAAAACTCTATGGCAGAGCCACAAAGACAACCCTTCTTCCCTGAAAGCCAATCAAATACTTGAACGGTAGAGCTGCACTTGCTGCTACTCTCCCATCCCAGGGCTTATGACATACTTGGCTGACCACTGAAACCAGAGGCAGGACACCTCTGATAGCAGTTAAAACACCGTGTTTTAAAGATAAATGTAGTTTGACTACCCCAGTCTGTTTATCAAGCAGAAGCTCCAACCACAAACATCGTGTATTGCCAGGGCTGAGCCACTGCAGCACAGAAAGTCACTGACCTCCCAGGCCAGCTGCAGGTGCTGCATATCTACACTGCCCCTCCGCCCTGAGCTGCATCCTGCACTAACAGGGTCTCCCCTGACACCACAGTGGAACAGTACACATGGCCAGTTTGTCCCAGTATCCCACAATCCTAAACAACAAAAATGTAATTTTCAAAGAAGTAAATGGAAAAATGATGCTGACTTGCAAGGAGATGTGAGATTTTCTTGATTAATCAAACTAGTCACAATAAACTGATTTTCAAATTCTACTACTCATCTGAAGTGTATGTCTTCTGATACCATGTATGAGCTACAAAATTGTTTTTCAGTACAATGTAGTGGAAATTATCCAGAAAGCAATGTCTCATTGTGGATCAGTCACTTCCCAGCTTTTTGTAACTAATACAAATGGGAATGTAACTAACAACAAATGAACAAAAGAACTGTGCTCATCTGCAGGCATTTAGGTCCACAATACACTTCAACCTAAAAATCTAAGTCACATTCTTGCAACACTCATACACTGTCAAATAGCAAGGCTTCAAGAGGGGATCTACTCCCTGCAGGGGGGCTGTCACCAATCATTGAATCACCACCTCACATTTGAAATTTCTTTTTTAATGTCAACGTTCTACTATCACATCCAAAGCTTTGCTTACACAAAATCTTAATTCAGCAACCACTAGGAGAAAATAAGCTTTGAAAGTAATTATAATATTCAGAGAGCACTTTTGTAGGCATATTCCCACAACTGTGCTAAAAGGTTGAATTAACAGTGGAACAGAACTCCACTTTCAGTTCCCTTGAAGTATCACTCACGTTTCATTATCACAATTTCAACTGCATAAATCCATTCTCAATCACTAAATCACCAGTGCCAATTATACATCTGAATCTGAAGATTCTTCCAAAAATCTCCTTTTGGTTAAATACACATGCTCTGCTATGAAGCTCTTCTGTCAAGAGTTAAAGGAACAAATTCTCATCTTGCAGTTAGTATACAATCTGAAAACCTTTATCTTGCTCTGTGTTTCCCATAGTTTATTACTTAATTCTTCATTTCAAGGCACTACAGGATTGACTTTCTGTCTTACAGCTGCAATTTTAGTTCCAATGGCTACATTTCTCATTTAGTTACTACCAGAGGTTTTCCACTAAGCTACATGCCTGAAACAGCATTTTGGGTATGAACTACTTTCAGGTTTGGGGATTTTTTTTTTTTTACAATGTACTGTTTCACTTACATATTTACAAAAATCTTGTTTGACAGAGAACATTTGGTTTAGGCATAACTTGTGATTAAGACACCTAAAATACATGTCCATGGGTGCTGGTGAAGATACAGACAAAAAATCTACTCTAATCAGTGCCTCAGTTAATCCTAAAATAGATGTGTTAAATGGCTGATCAACCTTAATGCCATGTTTTCTGCTACATCGCTTTCACCTGCAAACTTCAAAAACCCCAGAATACAGCACCTGTACTGGTGCTAGAAAGGAACTCGAGCTATTCGCCCTCATTTCTGCCTACAGCATTATTGAGATTCTATTCAGAGCAGCGCACAGGATGGCCACTCCTAAGGACAGCTAAGTATTCTGACAACTCATTTGCAGTATCATCATGCCCTCAACAACTGTACAGGCTCACGGAATCATAACTCCCCTTAGTCCATCTCTTCCACTATTAGCATACAAAAAATTTTAAGAAAGAAAACGGTAGGATGAACTTTAGTCCTCGTATCACAGGAATCAATCATTATCTAAAGTGTAGTAAATACTATATCTGTGCCTGAATTTCAAACTACTTCTATGCTAGATAATATGCTGTAGCATAAATGCTGTAGTATTAAGAGTTAGCCCAGAGGCTTTTCCTGCCGTCAGATTGTACCAGGTTATGCAGGCAGTGGTACCACTCACTGATGGACTGACAAAACCACTTAACTGCTTCCAAGGATATCCTCTATGTATCCTGAAAAACTGGTTGTACGATTTATCACTGCTGGTGCCCTGCACTCTGCCTGTAAAAACACATGAAGATGAGTGCTGGGGAGGATGGGAAGGACCTCACTCACCAACTGCTCTGCAAAAGAAAGGTATCAGCTATCAAGCCCTCCCAGAGAGAAACCACCACAGATCCTCAGGGTTCTCAAACCGACAGCCTCAGGAATGGGCCTGCAAATGCCGTCTCCAAAGGCAGGAAAAGATGGGAGGGAGATGTCCCTAAGGCAATGGCCTTGAGGCTTGCTACACTAGAGGTAATTTCTGGCCCAGCATTTTACCATGCAAAAGCCTCCTCAGGAAGTATATTATTATTTCACTGTATCAGGCAGTATTTTCTCCATTTCTCCATTCACAACAGAAAAAATTAAAAATAGCACTGCATGTTACTTGCGCATATATATGAAAATGTCATACAAAGAAACTGCATTCTATGCTGTCATTTAAAGGCCTCAAAAATGTTGTCACTTCACCCAAAACCAAGAAGAATCAAACTCTGAATGTAATGTTATACTGTAACTAAAATGCTGGAAACATTACACAGTGTTTCTGGACTAATATTTTTCATTTTCCTCTTTCAAAGCAACATGAAATTATGAGTGGTGCCTAAATTGTTTATAACTACTTCTTTATGTTACACTATGGCATGCACCTGCTTACCACACAAAATACTCATCATAAGCCTAGATATGAGAAGGCAAGCACCAAAAATTTTCTCTGCTCACATTTAGTAGATCATGTAACAGGTATATTTTGCAATATGGAAACTATTTCTGAAGACACAGCGCTTGTTTTAGTCTCACCTATCATACTGCTTTAGTAACAACATGGTTGTTTTGGCCTGACAAGAACAGTAACACATCTGACACCAGGATTCACCATGGAAATTCTATATTGAAGTGTACTTAAGGCCTGGCTTGGCTAAGAGTTATCTTAACAAGATATGGCTAAAAATATGCACTGTTCTTCCTCACTGTAACTAAAACAGTGTGTTGTTGCATTTCCCTTGTACGCCTCAGAGTCTGATAATCAAGGTGCTATTTCTACACATGGAATGATCTTTCTCAGGTAACACAGGCTACACTTGCACATTCATTTCCCATCTGAATATAAGCTTTATACTATTTTATTTTCATTTATGTTTCTGTTTGAGTCAAACCTTAAAGCTGGGTAGGTCTGGATAAACAAGGAAATGTAGAGCAAGTTAAATTATTCTGACAGCTAGACTTTTTTTTCTCAATAGAAAATGTAATTTGAAAGCACTAGTCAAAACTATTTGTAATGCACCTCACCTTTTCACTTTATAATAACCACTCATCTTCACTTTCGTTAACACATTGCAAGTAAACTTCCATTTTCCTTCAAAATGCCAGACATGCCAATTTCTATCAAGCTTGCTTATATTTGCAAAGCTCCAACACTAGTGTAAATAATGAAGTCCTTCTCACCAAGTAATTATGTTAATTTCATTAAAATGTTAATCTAAACCCAAATCTGAATGCAAATTAAACTGATGCACTCCCTTAGTGTCACATAGATTATAAATGTTATACTTCACCTCCATGTCTGAGAGTGGCAGGTTCGTTCTGGATGGCTGCTTGGTCCTTGGTGCCTTTGGTGGCCTCTTAACTGGCTGGTTACTGGGTTTGGGGACAGTTTTACCAGCTGATACAACTGCATAAAATCTTGATGATGTGTTCCTAAGCTTTTTGATCCACTCTGTATTGAGCCTGTAGTTTTCCATTATTGTAACACCCAAACGTCTCCAGGATGAGAAAAAACCCTCCCCACTCTGATAATAAACACTTCTTTCCAAAGTGGACAGAAATCCTTGGAGAAAATGCCAATTCCTGACTTGCACACATTGACTTGTCAACCAAGGGAACGCAGGTTTCAGTGCATACAAATCCCAAGACTTTGCTGTTCTGTGAGCTGTTCTTTCAACTTCATTATCCAGCTTTAATAGTAGATATCCAGTTTTGTTAAAGCTTTGGCATTGGCATATTGTTGTTAAAGCGTGGAAAGATCTCATCTGAAGGTCCAGAAGTTTCCGTCTCATTTCTTTCCTCTGAACTGCATTAAAAAAAAAAAAACAAATAAAATCATCCATCAACATTTTGGGAATAAATATTATTATATCCCTCTTATCTAAAAGGTGGTCCATACTACTCTTGCATGTGCTAGTACTCCTCAGGGTGGGAATAAAAAGATTTTTTTGAGCCTATGGAAACACTCTAAGATCAAGCCAAAACTACGTGTTTGCAACAAGTGGTGAAAAAATAGAACTGGTTGCTGTGTCAATATGCAAGAGGGCATCTTTTCCTTTGGCTGCTCATTCTGTGCAGCAGCCTGCACTTTCAGTAATCCCACTGCTTATGAGCAAGCAAGCACACACGATAAAGAGGACATCAGACGCTGTGAATCATTGTGATATATAATAAAAGCAACCATTAGATTACTACATGATTGTATGGGAATGTCACCTGCAAAACACACACACAGCTCTGCATCAGCTCAGCTGCTGCTGTGCCATGGACCGCTGAGCACAGTTCCAGCCCCAGCCATCTGTCCTGACCACAGACTCACAGCCTTGCTCCTGCCAGTACATCCTGGTGCTACAGGGACCAGCAGGCCTGCCTGCAGAGCCACCGTGCAGCCTGAAACACAACAGCATCCTTATGCTGGCAGCTCAGACTAAGAGCAACCCTTCTATACTTACACTACATTGTGTGAGCTAATAAAATAAAAATATTCACAGACTCAATACCACAGTGGATTTGTTTCATTTGCTGAAAAATCTCAGTGACAAGTTCTCTACCCTCATCTGGTTTTCTTAAGAACATTTTCCTTATGACACAAAATCCATCCTCAGCAAGTTATTAAGAAAAAGTCATTAAGCTGCCTAGTTCAAAAACCTGCCCATTTTAGAATATCTTTCAAAAGCTGAGGAGGATCTTTAATACTAAAAATACATTTAACATAATAGTGCAAATAATAATTTTATTTAAAGAGCAAATCATAGCGTGTACTGTAGAGCAAGCACTCTGTCCGTCCTTACAAGGATACCTAGGTGAACTGATACTGGGCTTAACTTTGTATCTTTACATGCTCTTCACTCATACATTTTTGCCCAATTTAGAAGCCTGTTGTTGGCATACTTACTGGGATAAACTATTATTTTAATTTTAAACTTGTTCTGTATTTAAAAAGCAACCCTGTCCAGGACAAGTCATATTCACCTTTTTAAAGGCCTGATATCTCCTGGATAAAAAATGAGCTGAGAGAAATTCAGCAACTGCAACTCAGTTGCTGGAGAGCTGGGGCAAGGTCTCCAGTAATGTGTGGTAAGTGGCAGAAAGAGACTCAAAATGGTTTTGTTGGTGTTCCTAGCCGACAAAACCTCATCCCGGATCAGTAGGATTTTAAATCTGTTTGTGTGTGCTAGGAATGACTTTTCAACTCTACAGGCTTACAAGTAAATTGCAAGCGAAGAGAGATTATATCGACTGAATTCCATAGAGGGGCCTGAGCGTCAGACCTGCGGCACCAGAGCCACCAGGCCAGCAGGAGCGGAACACAGCAAACCAAGAAACCGGGACGAAAGGCGACCACAACAGGGCAGGAGGCGCCACTCCGAGCAGCAGGCAGGGAACTGGGATTTATTTTCCATCGTCTCTTCAGCATACGGCACTTTAGCCACGCCCGCTGTTTCCCCGGCCAGAAGGCCCGGCTTGTTGCGGCACAGCCACCGACATCTACGGCTAGGGCGGGCCCGCTCCGCCGGCGTGCTGACCGGACCGGCACAGACCAGCCCGCGAGCTCAGACCAGCCCACGCAGTCCGGATGCCTCCAGCCTGCCCCCGGGGCCCGGCAACCGGGCCACTCCGCCCCTTCCCTTCCCTTCCCTCCCCCGCACCGCCGCCCTCTGCTCCAGGGAAAACAGCGGCCGGCCCGCCCCTGCGGCAGGCGCGGGGGAGGGAGCAGGGGAGCGAGGGTTCCGCTCCCATTGGCTGTGTGCCGGAGAGGGCGGGCACAGCGGGCAGGGAGCCGACCAATGGGAACGCGAGGCCGCCCCGCCCGCGGGCACCGAGAGAGGCCGCGGGCGCCGCCTCCGCCCCGCGCGCCCCACGGGCGCCCCCAGCGGGCGCGGAAGGCAGCGCCGCCAGCGCGCGGGGGGCCCGGCACCCCCACCCCCGGTCCGCGGCCTCCGCCGCTGCTGCGTCAGCCCCGCGCAGCGACACCTCAGCGCCGCGGCGGGAGGCGGCCGCCCGGCAGCCGCCCCGCTCCGGCCGCCACAGGGGCATCCCGGGCTGGGGGGAGGCAAGGGGCTGGGATTCACCCCTCACACCCGCAGGCAGGGCTCGTGATCGCCCCGAAACTCTGCCCTCCTCGCGAGGAACGTGGCGGGGCCCTCCCCGCCGCGGCAGGTCCGCAGCCGGCGGGAAGGGCGGGAGAGGCCGCCTCGGCTCGCCCACACCCCTCCCGCGGGCGCTGCGGCAGGCCCCGCCGCCCCGGGATTGTCCCAGGAGGGGCTGCGCACCCCTCCCCCGCCGCAGCTCCGGCCGGCGCGCAGGGCCGCCAAGGGCACCCGCTGCGCCGCCGGCCCGGCCCGGCCCGGCCCTCCTTCCCCTCCCTGCCCCCGCCCCGCGCGCGCGCCCGCCGCCGCCGCCGCGGCGGGAGGGGCGAGGCGGTTCCCGCCGCCGCCGCGCGCCAGCACTGACCTGGGGGAGGGGGCGCGCCGCTCTCCGCCGCGCGAGCCGCGGCCCCGCCCACCGCCCGCCGGGCCCCGCCAGGGCGCGCGGGCCGACACGCCCCGCCCGTCCGTCGCCGCGCGGCGGGGCGCGGCCCGCGCGCCAATAACGTCCGGCCGCCGCTCGGGCCCGCTTCCGGGAGGGGGCAGGGGGAGGGCGGTGCGCCTCCTCGCGGGGGGGCGGAGCAAGATGGCGGCGGTGCCGGCGCTCCCGGTGTCCCTGTCGGGCAGGTTTAAGGGGTCCGTCACGGCCTGGCGCGCTCGTTAGCGGCAGCGAAGCGGGGGCGGGAGGGAGCTGAGGGGCCGTCCGGCGCCCCGCCGCCGGAGAACGGAGGTTTCGGGCGCCGGGCGGGGCCGGGGGGCGGCTCTTGGCCGGGGGGCGGGCGGGGACAGCGGCGCGGCGGCGCGCGGGGCCCGTAGGCGGCGCTGTGGGCGCGGCGCTGCCGCCGCCGCGGTCACCGGCCCGGCCTGGCCGTGAGACGGTGCCAGCGCCGGTGCCGCGCTCCCTGGGCCGCGCTCCCTGGGCGGCCGCTCGGCTCCGCGCCTGCAGCCCAAGGGTGGAAATCTCACAGTGAATGAATCTCACCAGGCCGGTGTGCGCTCTCTGCGCGGCTGGCCGCGTTCTGCTCCTTGTCCTCGTACATCTACTGCGTTTGGAGAAAATGTAAATCAAGTGTATAATGGAGAGTGCGTTTCTTGTTGATGAGATACGTGAAAAAATTTGATGAGATACCTGTGCTTTTAGTTTTACATGTACTAGGTTTTCCATCTGGGTATCTTAGCAATAGAGGTCGCGTTTTAGCTTAGAATTAACTGCAATTTTTCGCTGTTTTGTCAGGGCCAGTCATTTAGCTTTTTCTTCCTTGAGAAGGTTGCTGTTTATAATCTTCTGCAAAAGTAGGCAAAAGAACTTGACTGGTTTGAAATTTTTTCCGTTTTATTTTTTTTTTTGCTCTCCGCTGCTTTAAGGGCATGTCAAGCTACTTTTAATACTGTTGTGTTATAACCCCAGCTGGCAGCAAAGCACCGTATTGTAGCTCAGCAAGGTGGGGAGAAGTGAGTGAGAAAGGTGAAAATGAGGAAACTTGTGGGTTGAGAGCAGTTTAATAATTGGAGTGAGAATAAATCATAATGAAAACAGCAAAGAGAAATACAACCCAAGAAAACCAAGTAAGACAACTGAAAGCATTTGCTCACCATGAACTTACTGATGCCTAGGCAGTGGCTCCCTGTCCAACTTTTCCTCCTGGTTTCCACTGCTGACCATGACACCATATGGTCTGGAATAGCCTCTGGGTCAGTAAGGGTCAGCTGTCCAGGCTGTGTCCCCTCCCAATGCCCAGTGCACCCTCAGCCTCCTCGCTGGTGGGGTGGGGTGAGGCAGAAAAGATCTTGACTCTGTGCAATCCCTGTTCAGCAATAAGGAAAACTTCCTTGTGTTGTCAACAATGTCTCCAGCACAAATCTAAAACACAACCCCCATACCAGCTACTGTGAAGAAGATTAACTCTACCCCAACCCAAAGTAGCGCAAAGACCTTGCATTTGTTTTTAAAAATTGAAGCAGTTTCATCCTTTGCTGACAATAATAAAATATTGATCCTCTCTTTTTTAGATCCTTTGCATATTTTACAATCAAAGACAGACTTCCCCAGATTCTTACAAGAGTTATTGATACTTTGCATCGACATAAAAATGAATTTTTTGAAGAACATGGTGAGGTAAGAGTCATCATCATAAACATCATAAGCATCATTTTCCCTGCTGTTTATTTCCTTCTAGCCTTTGAGACCCTTTCTTTGCCTTGTTTTTACTGGTAAGGCTTGTCTCAATCCTTTTGCCTGATATTTTTAAAAAATAATTCTTTCTACTGGTTATTTTTGATTAGTTCTGTAACACACCTTTTTGTCCAACCTTTTCATTCTGATCTATCACTTACGCAACTGCATCACTTACTTTGGTTTTTGTGTTGATGCAGTGTTTGACAGACGGTAACACCTTCTGAACAAGACTGTGTTTCAGCACTCTCTTCACCTCTAATAAGCAAAAAGTCCAATCTAAAAAGAAATCCCATATGGAATTAATTTTAGATCTTGGATCTTAAATGAGCTTTATTCACCAAAGTATATTTTGTTGAATCAAGCTGTGATTTGTCAGGGACTCTCATGGCAATTAAAACTTTGCACATTCCATGAATAGTTGATCTGTGTCTCTACAGGAATGAAGGTACAGAATAGGAACTTTTGTTCTCCACTTTTTTCAGAAGGGTGTTGAAGCAGAGAAGAGGGCTATATCTTTCCTCTCCAAACTGCGGAATGAACTGCAAACAGACAAGCCAGTGACCCCTTTGGAAGATGAGTTGCCCGATGCGGCACTGTGGAACCAATACCTGGACTACCAACGAAATTTACCAAATGGAAATGGAGAACCAAGTTGGTTTCAGTCCCCTTGGCTGTATGTAGAGTGTTACATGTATCGAAGAATTCATGCAGCATTAGCACAGAAGTAAGTATTTACTGGCTTGCTATATTACTTCGCAAAGCATTGCTCTTTCCTATTTTTATTTTGGGAAAAAGAAAGACAGCTGAGGAGTAAGATAAAGGAAGATCTTAAGCTTTTACCATATTACTTTTTCCTCAGCTTGCACATCAGATTTAAAATTAATACCTTTACTTCTTATATTTAGCAGAGTTCGAAGCTTATTAATTTTTTTATGCTTCAGTTTTGGTGAGTTGGTCTACATGAAAACTCTTGAACTTGATTTTGAAGTTTGATTTTGCAGACTAATGTAAATTTAGTTATGAAAACCATGTAGCATTTCTACAAGGTTTGTTGGTCTAGAATTTTCTTTTAAGTGTTAGACACAGCATAGGAGAGCTACAAATCTTTTGGAGTTCTAATTTGTTTTGCTGCTTGGCAATCTGAAGTTACCATTTGAGAACTATTTCTTACAGCAGTAGACCCATCTTAAGCAGCTCCTGTTGTTCATTCTATACCAGCTTCTTAGTTACAGCAGTGCTTGCAGACCGTGTGTTGCATCAAACTTTGGGAGCTGATACTGGTTAAAAATAACTGGGCAGGAAAAACTTGTTGTGCTGGTACCATGGAGATGTGCCAGTACAGCGTCATGGGGTAGGAATGAACAGTTTAAGATCCTGTTGCTGCCAAAAAATTTGAAAGCTCCCCGAGTACAGATTTACCCTTAGTGTTGAGATGCAAACACAGAAATGGGACTCAGTTTCCACTGGTATGTTGTGTAATTTGAACTCTTGAACCAAAAGCTTCAAATATGAGGTTCATCCCCTGGATTGCACTTAAAAAGCTGAGCAGGTACTTTTCATTTTTAAGTTTCTTGATCTCCATTATTTAGTTGCTCTTAAGCATATGCTTGGATGGAAATTAAATCATTTGTTGAAAGGTTGTCGTGCAAATATGTTTCATAAGAGATTGACCTATAATTTTTATATATTACAGCATTCTCATTTGTCATGGTAATTTTCCAAAATCCTAATAAAGACTTTCATAGGCATAACTTCCTAACTGAAAGAGAATTTGGTATGGGAAGTACCCTCCAGCACACACAAACAGATTTAAAATCAGGCCAGCTTTTCTTAACTTTAGTTCACTTGTATGTTAGTTTTAATTCTCTTGTCTGAAGATTGGAGTTCAAGTGTCTGTGCAGTTCCCAGAGTTGTTGTGATTGAATGCTTGTTCACTTTCAGAATATATTGCTGTATAAAGATGCCTTGCATACTGTCTCTTTTAGCAAGATGCGTATTAGGCTGTTATGGAGATATGTGAAAATCTAGTATGACAAATTAGAAGTGGAAAATCTAACTAAGGCCTGTAGTACAGTCTAAAGAAGCCGACCTTTGAGCTTCCTTTGCATGTGCTGTAATGAAGAATG